CAGCGCTGCTGCTAAGCGCCACCACAAGGATCAGAGCATCGGCAAGACGGCCGACTCAAAGAGCTCCAACGTCAAAACTCCTGGCAACGGCGACAAATGGATGGTCAAATCCACACCTCGCCCATCACCACATCCACCACATTTTATTGGGCTCATAACCTATGGAATGAGATGATCAATGATGATGGTATTGAAGGTAGTCTTGCTAGCGTGTGTGTGGATGTTTACATGCATGTACGCGCGCGGCGCAACAGTCTATGTAGGCTACGAAGGTCCCACGGAAGTCGGCAAGACAAGCACCTTAGCCATGGTCACCGCTGCCGATCCTAGACGTTTTGCATCCGGCGATGCGCTAAGGAATCGCACGACCGAGATACAGCTCTGGGCGCGTGACTCAAGGCGTAGTGCAGCAGTGTACTGCGACTTTGCGGGCTCGGACGACCGAGACCAAGAGCTCCGCGAGGTCGCTAGTCTTTGCCGCGACATTCTCGATGTGATCATTTTTGTGGTGCCCATCACAGCTCAGCGTGGTCAAGGGAGGAAGAAATTCATTCGAGAAATTGCAGACTACCTTCTACAGCGCGAGAAGAGCAAAGATTTCCGTCCTTTTCTCATTCTGGCAGCGAAGGTCGATCAGCTCAGCTTCAATCGTAGCAAGAGGCCTTCGATGAGAATCTCGAAGCAAGCCGACAACAATTGGTAGCTCAACTCAAAGAAGAGATCCGGGGTCGCAATACCGAAGCTCTACCAGCCACGGTTGAAGAGAGCATTCTGACTTGGGAGGCTTCTCGAATTCAGAGCGGCAAGTCTCCAAGTCTTATCCACATCGTCCAGACGACGCTTGAAGACTCAGTCAAGCCTTACACGAACTGGGCTCAGATGAATTACGACAGCGACGCCGCACTGGCTGATTGCCCCGAGGGCACTAATTACAAGATTGTAGAGACCGCCCTCCAGCATCATCTCTACACCCTCGCCGAGCAAGGAGTCATCTGGGACATCGTATCTCTCAGAGCTTGGCTCGATGCTTTATCGTCGACGCTCGAAGCGACTCCATCCCCCAACCCCCACCGAAGAAGACTAGCTTTTTCCTTCAGTTGCCTGGTCTCGTGACTGTGAACACATCGGCTCGCGCTCGCGCCACTGTATATCGTGCTCTCTCCTGTCTCCTGTCCTTCCGCGCTGTGGTTCGCCTGATCCTCCATCCCATGTACATCCCATCTAAATCTTGTAGTGTCGAAAGCCTCGTATTCGTGGAATTGATGTCGTCGATTCCAGAATTGATGACATGCAAAACTGCGAGCGGATGGCGCCATGAGTTGAATCAAGAATGCGGGCCAATTTTAAAACGCGATACACGAGTCGACACCAATCACCAATCACAAACGACTAGGACGCCCGAAGCCGCAGATACATCCTTATGCTTCAATGGTGAATGCCGATGCGCAACGCGAGACGCGCGGTGTGAGCGTAAAGACGAAAGTGTTGATTCACTCATTATTGCAGTCACGAGTCAGCGAGACTGTGCAGTCAAGAAGTGGCAGCCACAGAGTTCTGAGCCTCGTCCTTGAACGCGTCCGCTTCAGCAGAGCCATGCAGCAGCGTGGAGCGCGGGTTCATGCAGCAGCGCGTGGCTTGAGACGCAGGCTTCTGCTTCAGGCCGGCGCACCTCCCCGCGTTTGCGCAGTTGAGTGGCTTCAAGCTGCAGCTGGCCGAGCGGGCCGACATGGACAAGTGCGTCCCGCTTCCCAACCGTCACAAGGACCGGCAAAGCATGAAGCCTGCTGTGCTCTCACAGAGAGTTCGGCCTCCGACCGGATGACTCCATCTTTTGGGTCAGTGCTTCTCGAGGATGTGAATGGGAAAGTCCCACTTTCAGTCACCAGTGTAGAATGGGCTCGGGGGCAAGGGACGTGGGAAGATGGAGCCCTGCTTCGAAGAGAGCGACGGATCACGCGTTCGGATGGTGGAGTCTAATCAAGGTGAATAGAGCGGCCAGAGCTTGGACCATCGCTGCCATGGTTATTCCCAACCTCCATTCTGGCTATCGAAGCGAGCTATCGGATCTTGCCCCATCATCACATTGCTCGCAAAGCCTTCACTGTGACAGCATACGGTGCTGCCAATTCCACGTCCAAACCGAAGCTCATCTGGGAGTGTCGCCGAGCTTCTGCCCATCATGAGTCTTCTATTAGCACCTTAGTGAGGCTGAGGGAGGGTAAAGCTGGACTGGCTCCGATAGCCAATCGGCTAAGCTGCTTGGAGGACAGACTTCAGCAGGAGGCCAGGTCTGAGACAGGATCACTGACTCGCCTTCACTTACTCTTTTGTTGATGGCAGCAACAATGCCATGCGCCTAGGTCAGGGGTGAGTCTTTCAGCTTTCTTTGAAAGCAGAAAACAACGAGCCATGGCGCTAACCTCCAAGGGAATAAATTTTCCAGGTTCAACTCCTTTACGCAACAAATATGCATCGACTCGGCTGTGGTAGTGAGCCCTCATCGAGCGGAAAATTTTCTCACCAACGACGGCATGACAATGCGCACAATGGTAGAGGCGAGCGGTATGCCTAGTCTGTGGAACACAACGGAAGAAGTGCTTCTGGACGAGTCGCGTCAAGCTGAGGCTGAGGCGATGCGAGCTGAGCAAGTCAGAGCGAACAACGACGAAGAAGAGAAGATGCTGCCTGGCATGGAGCATTTCACCTCAGAGGAAAGGCTTTCACGCGAAGAGCTCATCCGCGCTCGAGCTAGACGAGAGACTTCAAAATCCGATGTTGGAGTCTTTCCTCCTCCGCCACCGTACGAGGCGCACCAAGCGAGCCTTGACCGAGACGCCAAAGCTCGTGCAGCCATGAAATCTTGGAGCGTGAATAATGTGGGAGGTCCGAGTCAGACGGTCACCTTCACAAGTCGCTTCGTCGACAATATGAGTCAGGTAGTCAAAGATATGGGCATCTCCGCTAGCTTGTCCATCAAGTGCGGAACCATTTCTGGCTCGGGGCGTGGATCATTTATCCAATCGGACACCTTTGTTCAGTCTGATCTCAATTACTACATCTCGGTCAAGTGCGAAAACACGTCGATCAACTTCAAGGATCCGCTCGAATTTGCTCCTCTACCGCGCAGCGTCGTTCCGGACGCGGACTTTGCAGAGACGTACGGTGCGTAGCGCAGCGCTCGACAAGGCTTGCTCCACGACGCCTGACCCTTTTCTTCTTGGCCCCTTGCCCACCAGGCGATTCTTACATTTCTGGCTTCCTGGAGGGAGGTATATTCGAAGCCATCGTGTCTTTCAAAGTGCTCAATACTGCCAAGATGCTAGACATCAAAGCGGCAGCCAGCGTGGCTTTCAGCAGTGGAGCACTCGACGTCAAAGCAGAAGCCTCATTCGCCATGGCCAAAGCGAATCTGGCTTTGAACACCGAGACGTCAATCACAGCAAGATGGAGCGGAGGCGGAGTGATCAAACCACCAGACGAGCCTTGGACTATCGAGACGCTGATGAGAGCAGCAGTGCGATTCCCTCAGAATGTCGCCCAGTGTCCGCAGAGGACTTACGCTATCTTGACCAAGTATGACCATCTCAGGAGCTACTTGGCGTACCGACCCGTCGCGCTCAGCAAACAATCTCACGAGAACCTCACTTCCTACTCTGACGAATTGCTCGAGATGTTCATGGAGTACAAGGCTATGCTGGCTCGTTGCCAAGCTGATATCAGAGCCATTCTCGAAGGTACAAAACGTTTCAAGACCGCTCAAGTCTTTGCAGACGACGTCAAAGATCCCTTTCCTGTCTCGATTGATGGGCTAGAGGCTGCGTGCACCGAAATCCGACCACAGCTTGGAGCAATAGCTGCACGCATAGATGAGCTCTCTCACGACGCTTCTTTGCTCAGCTCTCCAGAAAATTTCACGAGTCCCATTGCATTTTGGCAGCGTCTGCCGCTTGTGGAAGACCCGGCTACTGCTGGAAAGCTCTCTTCTGCTCCTCTGACCGGCAAGAGGATTGGTAGCGCACCGCCTCAGCGCAGCCAGCCGACTGCGGATCCTGCACTTTCCGAATTGTGCGAAGAGCAGCCAGAAGAGCTGGGTTTGACCAAAGAAGAGGAAGTCGCGATGCTGGATGCCATGTCCAGCGGCGCACTCAGAAACGCCGAGGATGGGACAACAGCCACGATAAAGATGAGCCGGCCTGTCGGTTCGAGAGAAGATGGCGTTCCCTTCTTTGGTTTTACATTTGCTCGGAAGCACTTGGTTGTGCAGTCCATCAAGGCCTACATAGGTGGCGGGGCGCTTCAGCGTTTGCTCGTGACCTACTCGAACGGTCTGCAGTGGCGCAAGGGAGCAGCTACCACCACCTCACACGTCAGCCACGTGCTGGACGACTTCAGAGAATCCGAAGTCATCATTTCGGGATGGATCGAGTATGGCGCACCTGCGGACAAGTCGACCTCCGCTACAGTCACTGCTCTTGGTCTGCGAACGAGTGCTGGGCGAACATTGAACGCCGAAGCGGCCAACCAGCTGCGCTGCGGATACAGATCGAGACAGCTTGACGGCAAGCTTTTCACGGATCTGACAAGGTTCGAATTTGTCGCTCCTAGTGACGACGCTGCGCTTGTAGCCTTCTATGGCACCAGCCGAGAAGTGCACGAAAGCGAGACATTCGAAGAGATGGTTGAAGTCACCGACAAAGCGTCTGGCGACAATCTGACCCGGGTTACAGATGACAGCAAAGAGGGCGCCAAGGCCGATGCGGCCACCAAGCAACAGAAAGTGGAAGGTGTGATCAACAGACCTACAGGAATACACCGCCTCGGCTTCGTATGGAGCGAGCCAGGCGCACATGAGACCAAATGCAAATACGCACTGAGCAAGACGCATCTTGCAGACGCATTGGCTGACGCTGATCCAGTCGAACCGGCCGCTATGGCCAGCCTCTTGCCACAAGAGCGCAAAGCCCTGCTCACATTTGCAGCACGCAGTCTGTACAAAGGTAAGCTAGTAGGGAGATCACTGATCTCTCGTGCTCTCCCCGGCGCACAAGGCAAGATCTTCAGTGACGTGGAGCTGCTTCGCACCACCGGTTCGCAAGCGTATTGGCCTACCAAAATCACCTTTTTCTTTGCGCCCTCGCATCTGTGTGGACTTGAGATGGGCTTTGGAAAGATGAAGATTGCCCGCGGAGAATGCGAGGGACAGGATGTTCTGCCTTTCGAAGTCAAGCTTGAGAAGATGGAGAGGGTGTCCGAGATACGTGTCCAGCGAGGGCCCGACGGCCTTCCTTTTGGGCTACTTCTGCTTACCGCTGCAGGAAAGGCAACCTCAATCAATTGGACGGGAGAGGACAATGGAGGCCAGCTGGACAATGCTGACGCTCTTCGAGCACCACAAGACCTCTTTTTGCAAGGCTTTTTCGGCATCGAGACCGAAGACCAAATTCTTAACCTTCGCCCTATCTGGGCTTGACGTGCATTGGACGCGACGAGGATTTTTGCCCATCACTTCCGTAATTCATGACTTTCCGTTGACCTTTCGAGACCTGTAACACAGCAGACAGGCTTCACATGCGTAGTGATCACATTCTCGCTCATTGGACCCGAGAATGAAACATCCTTTTTGTCTCATTGCATTGACAGACATCGGGAAGAAGGGAACATTTGGCAAAGACACGCTTCACAGACTACTT